TAAGTTTATACCGTTTCCAATGCATCTAAGCGCAACTGGACAAAAGCATTGCGGTGTAGCTTCAGCCACGCCCTGATAGAGGGAGAGTGGGGTCGATGCGATCGGCGTGGACAGGGCGGTACCCATACGAGCACCGTGAGCTGAATCGTGTCGTTCGATCCGCCGTCCCCAGAGATTGGCGCAGTGAGATTCAGAGGAATATCAACGAGGGCGGTCCGGCCAGAGGGCGGCGGCGCGTGAAGACGGCAGTAGCTGGGAAGGGGGACGGACAGTCGATTCCTCTAGTCGCGACAACTGATCAGCTGAACGAGTTTTTTCAGGTGGCCGTCGTATAGCCACCGAAGCAGAGTCGTCATAGGGACTAGTGCTTGATTTAGCGACGTGTCCCCCTCGTGAGGGGGTTTGTTCGTTTCCGCCATCGCCTGTTACCCGGGAGATGCCCAGACATACGGTCCTTGGCACGCGGAGCTCAGCTGTCTGTGATTTAGACGGTTTATGTGTCTGCACGCTGAAGGCTGGTTTCCCAGCTATCAGTGACGTCATCCTTCACGTTGTCAACCCCTGCCTTCTCCATTCAGATATCCCCGACGCTTGGGAACATTTCCTGATCCATCTCATCTTTGAGGTCGGCAACCCATCCGACAATCCACCTTCCGTCCTATACCCTCGTTCCTATTGCTACCGAAGTGGCAGAGCGACTCGCTCAACGGCTGCTTTACTACTGTCTACGCTGCGACCATCGCCTTGCATGCTCCCGTCGTGCTTTCTGTCGTCGTTAGTCGACGGAGACCGCGCTGGGGTCGGTCTCGGACCACATTCTTGACGCCACTGATGGGAAAAGGCTCCACTTCTGTGCCTTATTGATATAAGTACAAATTTGGACGTCGATTCCCAGCTTTTGATTCAGAAGCTGCAGATGCGTGGTATTGAGACCTGGTTCGCCGCCTTTCTTCAGGGACGCACCCATAGTATGTGTCTTGATAACGGACGCAGAGTGCTGTTACGGCCGCCCGCCAACAACATGGGTGTCTCCTAGCTTCAGCAGTTCAGTTCATTTCAGTTCAGCCCACTTATTTCCATACTTTTCTCGAATGACCAGTCTTTGTGCGTAGAAATCGCGCGCGTTTTTTCAATATGCAGATGACGCCAAGGTTCTGGTGAGCGGTCTGAAAGAAAACCATAAGGGACTTCTCTCCCGCATGGAAAGCGTCACTTAGCTTCTGGTTCCGATTGCATCTCCTCAAGCAACCAGAACACAACTTCTGTCAGTCGTCAAGATTTATGCGCCCCTCCAGACTTCAACAAAGATTTTCGTGATCCCGCGCTGCGACCATGTGTGGAAAGGCGGAATCTAGGTGCCGTCTTTGACAGCGCCCTGTCCTTGGATTCATACGTGTCCGAGCTCAGTCACCGTGTATGGGCGTGCTGATAGGCCCGTCCCACGCGTGGCACTGCCTTCCAGATGGCGTCATCAAAACTTAAGTAACAGCGTTGATGCTCACGCACGGAAGATAATGTCTCACGACTTATGGTAATGGCACGCGGAAAAACTTTGATGAAATCCGAAAGATCCTAGAGTTTGCTGCCAGGGAATTTTGGCCTACGTATATTTGACCATGCGTCTGACCTGCGTGAAGTGCAGTGTCCTAGAATTGCTGACTTTGGGTGTAAAGCAATACCCTATGAGGAGGAATCTTTCACTCCTTTTCCCCATATTTTATGTGAATTTTTCACTCCTGCCTGACATTGTCTCATCGCACATGCCCAACCCCTATTTCCCTTCCCGAGGTTTTCAGATGCCATCCAAAACCGAGCTCACTTGAAACCACCAAGCTTAAACGATCCTCCACAGAATCTGGACACCTATGGCTATGTCCTGCCTCACCTACATCTGAATCATGTCTATGTATGCACAGAGCAAGGGCGCCAGGTACCTCCAAGCCCAAGAATCCCAGCAACCCCAGCCGCCTGCACGCATTAAGTTTGGTTTGTTTACAAAATGCATCACAATCTGCAGCTGTGCGCCAAATGCAAGGTTTTCACGCATCCCCTATTT